GTTATTAAATATCAACATAAATTGGCGATGGGAACGAACAAAAATAAGTAATGCGATGACAATTTTTTATTTGCTTTGTTCATGAGGTGCCATGTTTAAACGGATTTTATTGGGTCAGAGTGAACACGTAATGATTGCATGAACAAAAAGCTCCCAAAAATGTGTCACGAGATGATTTGACTAATGAGTGTTTTACTTGTGATTTGATATCCGTTTACTATAAGTTGCATGTAACTACGGGGAAAAAAAAGTGATTAGAAATCACTAATATGGAAGCATAATATTACTTCCGACCATAATTATTATCCAGTTTGAATTTTCATTTTCAATTCAAATTATACTAAAAGTGAAATCTCAAAGTACACAATAATTTTGGGACAGAGGGAGTATTAGTTTTCAATATACCAAACTTTTTGCCCAATGTATGAAGCTTTCAGAAACTAATGTAATCTTACGGATTCGGTGCACTCGAGCTTAATAAATTAAAAAAAATAAAAAAAAATCAAAATTATCATTCAGTCTTACTCTTGTCAGCTTAAAGCCATAGTTCCAACAAATTTAATTTGTACTTTATAAAAGAAATGCCTACTTAAAAAACGGTTAGGACTTTGATATACACATACAAGATCGGGTTGAAGTTTTAAAAGTTCGGCGAGCAATGATTCTAGGACAAAATTGTATTAACTCGTGATTAGAATATTATATAATAATTGTTTCTCAATTTTAGTTTGTACGTTATACGTGTTATTTAATCTTCATAAATCATAAGCTGTACCAAAAAAAATAAAAATAAATTAAGGGTTCGGAAATTCAAAAAATTGGTCCAACCAGTTAGAGATGAAATTTTTTAAACAAAACCTGAATAACGTTTCCTATCTCAAAAAAAAAGGTGTATATTTGTAATGGCTACAGGCTGTAATAGCAATTCTTATTTACAACAAAGAAAATTATTCAAAAAAAAAAAAAAACAACAACAACAACAAAGAAAAAAGGAGGGGGTCCTGCTGATGTGATTTCTCGTACGGGGAAGAATTCCTTGGAAGTTGATAAGATGTGTGTTCTTCGTTTCACTTGATGATTGGTGATTCCTGGTCTTCTTCCCTTCCATACCATATACGCTACACTTTTTTTTTTTTTTGAAAAGGTTATACGCTAAACTTTAAAGCCCAAAAAGAAAATCAATTAACAATTTTCGCTTCAACTCAAAACCAAAATATAGTACTCTCAACTATCAAGTCTCAACCTCCACAAAAAGAACAAGTTATAGTATCTATTCTTTTTGTTCTATTTTAACAATTTACATTATATTCCCTCCGTCCCACGAAAATAGTCCATATTGAGTTTCAAGTTTTATATTGTTTTTAATACAAATTTGAAACTCAATATGGACTATTTTTTTTGTGGGACGGAGATAATATATTACAAGCTCATATATTTTTTCTCGTCTAGATCTGCGTGTCAAACTAATTAAATGGTAAAAGCAACCATTCTAACACACCATCTTTCTTTCTTTTCTTTTCTTTTTTTTGACCCCCTCTCTGGTAATAATAATTTTGAGAACAAAGTAATATCCAGACAGAAGTCAAAACGATATTCTAGTCTATCTTACCGCTGTCAAATGCGTTTTTCCATTTTTTTTTTCTTTAAAAAAAGAAGAAAAATCGTAACACTTTCGTCCTTTTTTTTGTTTCTGACTTTCTGTTTCTTCAATTTCCTTGTCCACAGGCTATCTTAGGATGCTTCAAGTCCTCTAATTGCATTATTGTGTGCGTCCATTGAGAAAATGAAGGCTTGTTGTATTACTATCGGCATTAAAATGATTCTCATGTTGGTGATATCATTTATCTATGATAAAGAGAATAACTATTTTGAAACAATTGAGATATGAGATAAAGTTAATTTCAGAAATTAAAACTTACTAGTACTTCTTAACAGTTTGAAATACTCCCACACTTCATTCTATCAACTAATGATCTTCTCTAATTTTGCGATACAGTTCACATCGTCCTTGTCGGATGTAGATGTTGATACAGGTTGTATCATCATTTTTCATCCTAAATTAGGACACGAGGGATTTGTTTAATTTTGTTACAAAGATTATAAGTTTATGCAGAAAACTTAATCACACCTTATTCTATTTGTACCAAAAATTAAATTGGAAGAGAGTACATTCTGCTCCTATTATACCTTAACAGGAGCGCTGGGAGTACCTCAAAATAGGGTATTAAGGCAGCACACATCTGCAGTTTGTAGAACATTTGGGATGATGAAACCTATAGAATTTGACCGTTCCTCCCGACAATTATTCTGGAACCAAAACATAATGGGAAAAAGACAAATAGCAAATTTGACTTTATGCAGGCATTAGTACTTTTTTGTGCAGTAAACTTATTCTGTCTATACATCACATTGTGTTTGTAAATATTCTCTTACGTTAAAAGAGAAGAAAAGTACTTAAAAATAATCCTTCTTTCCGTCCAGAAAATTATTATTCAGTTTGTATTTTTATTTTTAATTTGTATTAAAAATAAAAATCTAAACTGAACAATAATTTTAGGATAGAAGAAATATATATCAATGTACTCAATCAAAGACAGACAAAGTAATTATTAATACTTTCTTTGCAGTATACATCTAGTTTGGAGAGATGAGTACATATTTATACTTTCTTTGCAATATACATACACAGTTCTATTACTATCTCCGTCCCAAAAAAAATAATCCACATTGAGTTTTTAAATTTGTACTCCCTCCGTCCCATAATTATTGTCCACTTTGCCCAAAAAATTTTGTCCCAAATTATTGTCCAATTTGACTTTTTATGGATTAAGTTACACATTTGTCCTTAGTAAAAAACATTATCCATAAAATCTTAATGGTTAAACAATTACTTATGTAGGGGTATATCCGGTTGTTTAAGGTAAAATATAGTTAAGTTTGACCAAAAATAAAATCTTTCATTTTAGTAAAACTGGACAATAATTATGGGACAGAGGGAGTACTAAAAACAGTACAAAACTCAAAATAATGTGGACTATTTTTTTGAGACGGATATAGCATTATATATGTACACACATTCATCAGTAGTTTAGTAAAAGTGTGGTACTGGTTCGGTCACAATAAAAAATGTAAACTGTAAATCAGAACTGCTTTTGACTCTTTTTTTTTTGTTTATAAATAATAAATCCTGCCGATCATACGGATTTTCAAGTTCCAACCACTCAAAAAACATATGCTAATGCCTCCTAAATAAATCCGCTGTGGTTTTACCACACCCTCAATTATTTATGAGTTGCTATTGTGTCGACAATTCACCTATCTATCTATAGTTGAATGAAAATTTTCAAATGTTACAGTTTCATCTAATATACATGTAATATAAATTCTACCAACTGATTTAAAACTAGTACAGACAAATTGAAAGCTTCTACTATTTGGCTAGCTAAATCCTGAATTCTGAGGGCGCCGCCAATCGTTTTTTTAGCCAATCTCTCCTCTTTTCTCTGTCAAGCTCAAGCCTATACTCGATTTGTTGATTAGGAACAATGAAGCACAAGAATAAGGCTGCATTTCTTGCTTCTTTTTTCTTTTCTTTTTTTTTTTTGTTGTGTGTATACAGTGATATTTATTCTCCCCTTCTGTTATTTTATTTTTTTTAAACAATTTTTCACATTTGATATTGTTTAACCTGAAATTTTTGATAAAATGATTTGATGTAGTTTATAACGTACGTAAGAGCACAAAATCAAAGAGAATGTGATCGATATAATGCGAGAAAGTTGTACTAGAATTTTAAAGAATTGGCATGTCATTACAAGTGGCAAAGATGGAAGTTAATTTCCAAACTCTTAACCATGCCCTTTATAATAGTTTATGGCATTCCGCTAAGTCCCTAATAGTTGAAATTTTGGACTTTCTGTTACGTGTTACGAACTCTTTCCGTAAAAATTATCCATTTGATTTGGTACGCCATCAATACAATTAAGCATCTGCCTCATGAACGTCAGGATACAAGGCTGAAGTTCGAGCTTGATGCAAATGTTTAAAATTTTATATATCTAGCTTTCATTTATAACAATCGAATAGAGAGTACAATCCTACTGTAACTTTTATGTCTGGATCGTTACTTTTGTATAAATTTTCAGTATCACTAAGATTGTCCGTTATAATAGTCCGCATTAAACATGATCTAACAAAATATAATGTGGAACAATAAGGTCGTCGAATAAGCATATAACTGCTTGCTAACCTTTGGATACGGTTGTATGTGTGTGTTCTATGTTTGTTCAATTAGTCGTCTATGCATAAATGCAATGGAGGCATTGATTCAGAACATTGATGTCACCAAACATGCCAAAACTGGTCGTCACCCAATTTGAGTAGCTAGCTAGCTCTGCAGTTTGACGCGGCCTTGTGCTAGAATTGAAACATTAAGAACACACACAGAACACAAAACTTGATCAAAGCAAATGGAGAAAACCTAATTAAGGAGATATTCTTCTGTGTCTGTGATTGGATATAGTTTTTGGGGTCGCTGTCCAATGCTTTCATCTTTCACTATTATGCCACCTATTATCAGTGTTGGGAAAAACCAAATAGTCAACACAAGTACACCACATCCATCGAGGACACCATGACCAAAAATTGCAAAACTTGGAAATAAAAAGAGATAAAAATAAAAATAAAATTTAAGATGGATAGCAACCATTGATCAATGAACACCACCAATCAATTAGCTTTGGTTTTATTGATTCATAATTTTCGGGGGGGTGGTGTGGGGGGAAGAATTTTACCATCACTTTAATTTACCCAAAAACAAAAATGAATTGACATAACCTTAAACTTCACCTAGACTAAAATTGAACAACCTTCGTTTTCTCAAATGACTGTTAAGTCCCAAAAAAAATATTACTCGTTACGTTCCAAAATAACTGTGTCACGCAGAAACTAATAATTACTAATAAAAACGAAACTGAACAACACAACAAGATGGGAAGGAGGACAGATATTTAATGCACATACATCATCAATTTACCAACCATTCAAAGGAATTTAATTCAATCACATTTTCTCTCTTTCTTTTTTTTTGTTAAACTTCCAAACTCTGTACACATAATTTCATTGATGAAGAAAGAAGTTGCAGTTCCAAATTTTACAGAGACAATTAAGATCAGCAGAAGATCTTAACAAAAACATAATGGAAAAAAGAAGGGGGATTTTTTAGACATTATTTTCTGTTTTTCAGCCCTCCAATAAAAATTAGAAGAGCTAAGAAATTTCAGTCACATCCAAAAAAAAAAAAAAGAAGAACACCAATTTACACACCAAAGAACAAGACTAAACTAATAATTCCACAATAAGGACTCAAAAGAAGTAGAACTTGAAAATCCACCCTCATAGTTTTCTTCTCCGATTATACCCCAGCAAGGCGGTGGAGCTGGGTAGGGCCATCCTTCCACGGCGTCGTAGTAAGCGTAATCGTTCCCAAACTCCAGCGATTCTTCAAAACTCGTCGACCCTAAACTCGGCAACTCCACGATTTCGCACAACTCCTCTTCCTCCGATGAGCTGGTCGACAAATCAATCGCTGATACCAAGGACGACAGAGAACAAGAAGACGACATCGACGACGTCGTTCCCGAAGAAGACGACGATGACGTAGACACGAAGTCGTCGAACTTCTCCATGGCGGCCGCTTTCGCCGCCGCGGCTTGCACATCGCGGGGGCTCTGGGAGGCCGGGCGGGGGAATGATCCGGCTAATTCCGGGAAATTGAGTATCGCGGAAGCCCCCTTGATGCTGAGCGCCGCCACGTCATGGGCTCTGGCAGCCATTTCAGGCGAGGGGAAAGTGCCGAGCCAAATGCGAGATTTCTTCCTGGGCTCCCGGATTTCGGAAACCCATTTGCCCCAATTCCGCATTCGGACTCCCCGGTAGACTGGGTGTTTGCTGACGTCCCTGATTCGCTTGATTTTCTTGGTTTCCGAATCTGGGCTCTGCAACTCTCTGTTTTCGTTGTTTGGATGGGATTGATTACAGCTGCCGTACGATGATGGTGAGGTCGGAGAAGATGATGATGATGATGATGAGAAGGAAAACACAGAAGAGTCTGACCTGATGTTAGGGTCAGTAGAAGAAGCAGTAGTACTACTCATTGTGTGTGATTCTGGTTACAAATTTATCATTACAAATGTAAGAAATTGGGATGAGGAAAGAGAAGGAAAGCATCAAATGGCACACAATATGTTTGAGGAAAAGGCAGTAAAAGAAAGAGAGGAAGACCAGCACAGATATGGAAAGGGGGGGCAATGAGTAGTGTGAGGGGGGAGCTAATGAAAGATTTTTGAGAATGAAGATGACCTTTTTATATTAACACAAAAACAACTAAAAAGGCCATGGAATGTTTTTGTTTATGATTTAATTGGACTATAAAATCAATAATAAAATATTGCCCAAAAAAAAAAAAAAATCAACTGCGCCAAGTTGCGAATTCCCCCCCCCCAACCCACCCACTGTGGTGGTGGTTTTACGAACCCCGACAGGAGGACTATTTGGTCGATCCGGTTTTCCTCAATTAGAGAGATTCACTATGTGGATCATTCATGACGATTTTTCATTTTTCTTCTTTCTTTTCTTTTTTTTTTACCCCTCCCCACTTCACTAGTACTACACGTATTGTGATTAAAGTAGTTACTAAATTTTACTCTTTAATGTAAAAAAATTTAATACATACTACAACTTTCTCCGTCCCAAAAAAAACCGTAGTGAGAGATGAAATAATACTTATTTGTATTATGCTAGAAAAATATGTAACAGTTCAACCAAAACGGTGGAATTGTATTGAACCGTAAACTTATTCATCCTTCGTTGAGATTACTCCTTCGTTGACATTATAGAAGTCCATGTGGTTTCACCTCAAAAACAATTGGCAATGGCGGAAATATCCATGAAACTTATATATTGATACTCAGAGTCTCACAACACTAATGTGGGATTGGAACTCTTTAATACTTCCCCGCAAGCCTAACGTACAGGCTAGCTCTGATACTATACAGAAGTCCATAGGCTTCACCTCAAAACTAATTGGCAATGAGGGGAATAGCCATAGAACTTATATATTGATGTTTAGAGTCTCCCAATACTAATGTGGGATTGGAACTCTTTAATAGAGATCTCATTTTAGAAATGTTCTTAATTTAATAACAAAAGTTAGTCACTATTATTAAAGATGGATGCCATTCGATTTGCGGGGGAAAAAAAAAAAAAAAGGTACAATCAGAATGCAACCATATGTAGTTTTGGTAGGAAAACACCTGTTTTATGGAGCGTGCCGACTTCAAAAAAATGCAGAAATCGTTATGCTTTTATTTGAGTTGACATTTACATTATTTTATCTTACCACTTTCCTGTTCTTAAAAAAGTCTATTTTTGTCTCTTCAAATTATTTTCAAACAGTGGACATTTGGGTGACAGGATTCATAACTTTCCCTTTATTGGTGATATTGTTTTATTTCTAAAATTTGGGAACTACCGTTATGAGATGAATGAATAATGGGGTTATGAATAGTACAAAATTACAAAGTCATAGTTGTATGATTACTAATGACTCATTTTGTGTGTTTTGTTGCACTCGACAAATTAAAGCAAGTTTCATGATTTCAGATGTAGACTCAAGATCCAGAGCACAGATACTCTAATCCAATTTGCATTACAATAATATGAACTAAAGAAAAAAGCGATCCGATTACACGATCATCATCATAGGCTATAACTATATGAAAGACAAAATTCGTCAAGTCTATGAATGGGATTGATGAATGAATTCGACTTTTGTTGGCCGACGTGGTTTAAATTAAACAAATGCCATGATTGGTCTGTCAACAAACACATACGTTACTCAAAATTTTTATTTTTAGGACGATTTGATCGAATTTAAGTGTAAAAAAAGTAATTAAATTCGTGTTTCTGAATCTTACAATTATTATATCCATCAACAGTTTACATAAATTCTTCTCGGATTAGAGTTTTCTTATGCAAGCAAGAGATTCTTAACATTATTATTATTATTATTCCACTCACAACTTGACATTATGACTTTATGCTACTCTTTCAAATGTCCTCAAAATAAAATGAAACCCAAAGATGAATATTTTTTATTAATGTAGAATTATTCTTGGGAGAGGAGGAAGGGTAAGGTACGTAAACGTAAAGGAGGTCCCCAGGGGGGAAGAAATGGGAAATGTTGCAATACCCTACGAAGCTATGGGGTCCCTTTTGGCTGGTACCACGCAACCCCCTCACTAATTGCAACTTTTGGGACATGATATATCATTTTTATCTAATATATATGTATATTGCTTCCTAAGTTTTACCTACATTTCACTGTGCATTTATCCCCTTGTCAATTCTTAACACTGTAGTCGCATGTATCTCTGCCCTTCTCAATATGTATTTTTTTAATAAGGTTGGGGGAAAAGACAATCTTTCCCTATAAGATTTTCTCAACTTCTCAATTTTAACTCTCTTGATGTTTCATGAATGTTGTTCTTTTCCCTTTTGTTTACTTCCTTTACGAGAGTGAATTGAATACTGTTATGAAATAGGCACCTCGATTAACCTGTTTAGTTATAGTTTGATTTGCCTCTAACTTTCGATCTATTTGATTCGAGTGTCATTTGATGATGTTATAGTTGAAGAATAAGTTATTTAAATCAAACGAATGAGGGTGGTGTTCTAATGTCTCGTTGCTTTCGAGGCAGAATTCATTTCATGTCGTGTTTCTCACTCGTGTAAATGAGAAATTAGGGTTTTCTAAATTGGGAAGGAGTAATTTGTGACTTCTCAAAAAGCTATGAGGAAATATCTTTTTCACCCTTCTTACACGTACAGATAGCTAGCCAACATACTCGTGCATGTCCATTTTCAATAACTTAATTAAGTGTCTCTGTCTGAATATGTGCGTCTATTGAGTGAAATTGAAAAGGATCATTGCTATAAATAGTTCTTCTTGACTCTTGAGTATGTTGCATGTCCTTTTCCTAATGTGCAATTTATGTTAAATTATACAAATAATCATATCTTGAATCCAAGATCTTCTTTAATTAGCTAAGTCTCTCTTTAGTCTTCACTAGGCCATAGTACAATTAGACATATAAAGTATTGCCACAATTGCATCATTCAGATCACAAGATCAAAACCTCATTGGAGAGTAGCTAAGGAGTAGTACTAATTAAATAAGTTATTTTGTAGGGGAAGATTTCTTTAAGGCATTGAGGAAAAGTTACCCCTCCCCCCTTTGGTTTAAACAAATGATCATTCTCCAATATAGATTAATGTGTGGACATTGTTGTCGTTGATACCATTTCAACGTACTATTTTACAAGCAAAAGAAAACAACTTGCAGATTTCAGCAAAGGGGTCCATATTCCATTTCCTTCCCAACAATTTTAATTTATTTATAGTATGATATAATTGTCTTGAATTGAATTGCAGGTGTATTCATGTGCATGTATACCTCTTGTATACATACTACAATATATTTTAATTTGAATGGATACAAATAAATGACAAGATTTCTTTGTCTGATTCTCCCAGAAAGGTAAATTGGAAAAGAAGATCAACCAAAAAGTAAGAAGAAATGTCTGATCTTTCTTTCTAGAATTGGACATCAAGGAGATGGGCAAATCATTCAGGGCCAGTCCCCCCACCCCGTAAAATGTTTAAATAAATATAAATCCAAAGTAAGAAGAAATGTCTGATCTTTCTTTCTAGAATTGATAGTTAATTTACCTTTATCTTGGTTTGCAGATTATTATAGCATTTTTCGGTTGCAATTACTCATATCTGGTGGAACTCCTACTATTACAAAAAATAAATAAAATAAATTTTGTCAGTTTGGTGAAAACAACTATACTTGTGTTGTAAAAAAAAAATAAAATCTTAAAAGCCATAAGTTTAATATATATATATATATATATATATATATATCCAGTAGTTGGGAGGTCTTCGATGGATCAAATCATGAAAGTCTTGATATGCTTTCCTGACCTCTTTCCCATACGCTTATTAAAGTGTTGTTCATGCTGCTTTAAACCCAAAAGGTAAAAATATGCATTATTGGGTGAATAAAGTTTACTTGTTTTTGTCTCTCCTTATCCGAAAATGTTTCTTTTTTACTTGGCAAATCCTTTTCTCTATGCTTATTGACGACCCCAGTGATTACCAGTAAAAGAAAGAAGAAAAGGGGAGCATATAAAGCATTTTACCTAATCATTGTTGTGTGTATGCATATAGTAAAAATCCTTCAGTGCTATTTCATTGTTCATCTGGACTTTCCAGTGGGCGAATTAATCAAAAGTGGCATGACGTCAGACGTAGACAATCATTCGGGAAGAAAATTTAGGGTTGTTAGAATCATTCGTGATCTCTCTTGAACTTCTTTCGACAAAGTTTTCGAGTCATTAAGCTTTGGTTTTCAGGAGATTTCGTGATAGGTTTTGAGACGTGTTTTGATATACACATATATATAATTTTATGTTGCATAGTATTTACCGTCGATAATAATAACTAATTTTCTCACTTATAGATTATAATGTCTGCCCTAGACACACTGACATGAGTATCTTAAATTAATTGAGGAGTTTCAAATGCGTATTTGAACATCGACCAATTATGGTTCTTATCGTTCCAATAAGTAATAATCTGTAGGGATAATTGAACAAAAGTTAATCATGAACATCCGTACGAAAAGAATATGATTGGTTTTGTTTGTTTTTTTATGTAGGTCATCCTGTCTGAATCCCGTAACAACTCCCGTTCCACTACAATTAGCATCATTTATCCCCTTTGTCGTCATTTCCACTAATCAACCAAAGCGCTTCTAATTACTCTGTTAATCTTTCTTCTGATTATGATGATGGAAGAAAACAATGCTTTCAGTGACCATACACTAAATAATTTATGTTTCAGGGTGTTTTGGGACTTCCATCAATTATGACACTGAAAGGACTGGTGGCAGTTGCATCAGATATCATTAGTTATCGTTCATGTATAGAGTTTTTAATTAAAGGATTCACTATTATGAAAGTAATTATAGATAGTCGATCGATTAATCCCGCGAAAAGTTTGCTCTAGGCTTTGATCATCCACTTGAGTAATTAGGAGTCAAAAACCTATGAAAATCGTACGTAAAAGATACTCCTTTTGTTCCAAACTGAACAATAATTTTGGGACAGACGGAGCTTCATAGACATATACAGTCTCATGTACTAACAGCATCGACCAAGAATATACGGTTGAGGGAGTATACCTCGTAGAAGAAAGGCTTCCAAATGTTGATCTTGCAATTACTAATGGGGGGCTCAAGCATCATAGGTCACAATCCAAATTAAACGGTCCACAGCGGGGTGTATTTCGATTTTGTGAGGCTGAAGGGGGTGTTGTTGAGAAACCCCT